ATATGAGTCCTTATTGCCAGACAATCTGGGATAAACAGAAAACCTAGGACCAGATCCTGGGATATAGGACCTGTCTGGAAGGTCCCTGAGTCCTGAAGCAGAGGGCAGTGCCCAAACAAAGGCAGAATTCCCACGCCAAAATCAAGGAACGACAGCTTCTTACGCAGAATGAAGAAATCCAGACATGGCTCCCAACCACAATTCAAGCGGTCTGGAACAGGTTGCGGAAAGAGCCCTCCCTCCTTTTTTAATCTGTCTTTTTCTTTGTGATCTTTGCCACTTGTTCAGGTGCAGGACTCTTTTGCAGAGGAGACCAACCAGGTGTCTCTTTCAGACACCATGTGCATTGTCCAGACTGGAAATGGAGAATCTATCGCAGTTGGTAAGGGATGGGCAGCGGTTCTTCTTCTTGCTTGGTCACCTGCTTCTTTTTTTTCTAATTATTGAGCATTTCCAATTCTTTTTCCACAAAAAGGATGGGGAAGGGAAAGTCAGAGATAGAAAGAAAGATACGGTGGAGATGATGAGGTTATTGTTAGTGAATTAAGTCTTTACAACTATCTAGGGTGGCTCAGAGGGAGTGAAGGGATTGGAGAGGAGGGGGAGAATATTTTACAGTGAACATCCATATCAGTTACAATTATACAGATTCCTCAAAATGTTAAAAATTCTATGTATTCTCTATTACAAAGAGAGGAGAAATATTGTCCTCTAATGTTAAGTCCTGTCTTCGTATCTTCTTGTCTTGTCTTATGTTCTTCTTGTCTTCTCTCGCAGCTAGTAATAAAGTTTATCTTTATTACTAGCTGTCCCCTGCCACGCGTTGCTGTGGCCCAGTTTGTGTATATGTGTTTTGTGTGGGTATATATGTGTATATTTGTATATATGTGCTTTTGTGCATGCATTGCAATGTATTTTTTAGGAAATGCATAAGGAGGTGGATGAACTACAATTCCCAAAATCGTGGGTCAGTCCTCCCTAAATTCCGCCAGTATTCAGTTGGTCATGTTGGGTCTGTGTGCCAAATTTGGTCCAGATCCATGTTCAGCTGGGTTCAGTGGTCTCTTGATAAGGATGAACTACAACTCCCATATTCCCCGTCAACTCCCTCCGAACCCCGTCAGTATACAAAGTTGGCCTTGTTGGGTCTGTGTGCCAAGTTTGGTCCAGATCCATCATCGGCTAGGTGCAGAGGGCTCTCTGAACACAGGTGAATTATAACTCCCAGATTTCAGATGGCAGTACTGGTATGCGGTAGGTACTGGCTTGTTCAGTAGACTCTACAGTTCAGTTTTGGCGGGAAGCCTTAGCATTGAACGGTTGTTTTGTTAAACTGCGAAGTATGGAACCCTGCGCAAACGGTCAGTCAATGTGACTTAAACAATGTGCAGTTATTGAATTCTTGACAGCAGTAGATGTCACCCCAATGGAGATTCATCAGAGAATGCGAGCTGTTTATGGTGATTGTGTTGATGTGAGTACTCTGCATTGTTGGGCGAGTAAGTTTAAAGATGTTGAGGTGGGAACATCTGACTTGCATGGCAAACAGAGTTGGACGTCCTGTGACAGCAACCACCAAGTTTCACAAGCAAACGGTTGACAGATTGATTCAGGATGATTGTCGTATCACTCAGAAATTTCAAGCAAGTTAAGGAGCACATTCTAAGGCAGTGGTTCTCAACCTTCCTAACACCGTGACCCCTTAATACAATGCCTTATGTTGTGGTGACCCCCAACCATAACATTATTTTCTTTGCTACTTCACAACTGTAATTTTGCTGCTGTTATGAATCATCTTGTAAATATCCGATATGCAGGATGTATTTTCATTCATTTGGAACAAATACTTGCTACACCCAAATTTGAATACTGATGGGTTTGAGGGGAGGATTGATTTTGTCGTTTGAGAGTTGTAGTTGCTGGGATTTCTAGTTCACCTACAATATCAAAGGGGATTTTGAACTCCACCAAGGATGGAACTGAACCAAACTTGGGACACAGAGCTCCCATGACCAACAGAAAATACTAGAGAGTTGGGTGGGCATTGACCTTGTGTTTTGGAGTTGTAGTTTACGTACATGCAGAGAGCACAGATGCATCTGGACCAAACTTGGCACGAATACTCAATATGCCCGAATGTGGACACTGGTGGGATTTGGGGAAGATAGACCTTGACATTTGAGAGTTGTAGTTGCTGGAATTTGTAGTTCACCTAAAATCAAAGAGCATTCTGAACTCCACCAATGATAGAATTGGGCCAAACCTCCCACACGGAACCCCCACAATCATCAGAATATACTGTGTTTTCTAATTGTCTTTGGCGACACCTCTGACACCCCCTCACTACCCCCAGGGGTCCCGACCCCCAGGTTGAGAAACACTGTTCTAACGATTATTTCTGCGTTTTATTTATTAAAATATTCCCATCCAAACCTAAGTAATGAAGGTGGAGGCATTACTTTTCATTCAACCCTCGTAACAGATGAGAGCAGCTGCAATACGATCATGTCTGCGGTCTCCTTCCTTCTAATGATAGAGCTTTCTCGAGAGGCTTTCACCCACAGGAGAATCGGTGGGCCTTTTCAGCTCTTCTCGAACTTCTACGACTAATTAAGGAGTTTGCACATTGCCCTTGGCTATTTACTTAAGCTGTGGCAATCTTCCTGACCCTTAAAGGGCACCCTGAAGACACAGATCATTGGTCACAGCTATATGACACAAATACAGAAACAAATATAATCAACCCTCTACATTTGCTGGGATTAGGTCGTAAAATTGGGGAGCCTGGGAGCTTAAGAATGTTGCTGATAGGAGACATTTCTCTACAATACTTATTTGTACCACTTTCAAAATTACTTGATTCCTTTGCTTCTCTCTGGATGTTTGTGACACCATAAAAAAACTCCAGCAGCGTGCAAAGAATGAGGAAGTACATGTCACAAGTGGATGGTGAAGCCACAGCTTTCCGGTGGCCAGAATTCAAAAAGCATACTCTAATGAATCAGAGAATCATAGAATCCTAGAGTTGGAAGAGACCTCATGGGCCATCCAGTCCAACCCCATTCTGCCAAGAAGCAGGAATATTGCATTCAAATCACCCCTGACAGATGGCCATCCAGCCTCTGTTTAAAAGCTTCCAAAGAAGGAGCCTCCACCACACTCCGGGGCAGAGAGTTCCACTGCTGAACGACTCTCACAGCCAGGAAGTTCTTCCTCATGTTCAGATGGAATCTCCTTTCTTGTAGTTTGAAGCCATTGTTTCGTGTCCTAGTCTCCGGGGAAGCAGAAAACAAGCTTGCTCCCTCCTCCCTGTGGCTTCCTCTCACATATTTATACATGGCTATCATATCTCCTCTCAGCCTTCTCTTCTTCAGGCTAAACATGCCCAGCTCCTTAAGCCGCTCCTCATAGGGCTTGTTCTCCAGACCCTTGATCATTTTAGTTGCCCTCCTGAAGCTGGAAAGTTCAATACTCTCTGTCTGTCTGTCTATATACGTTGTGTGTCTATAGCATTAAATGTTTGCCATATATATGTGCATTGTGATCCGCCCTAAGTCCCCTGCGGGGTGAGAAGGGTGGAATAGAAATACTGTACATAAATGGTGAATATATTCTTCGTTACATTGGCACAAATACAGAAACTAATAGACAACCCTCCACATTTGCTGGGATTAGGTTGCAACACCCCTGCAAAATAAAATAGTTCACATTAAAGACCTGGGACCCAAATCCAAGGAGGAAGTTTAAAAGAGAGACATGGGGCAAGGGGAAAGTGGCAGGCCTCTGTGGGAAGGAACTGTGGGGCAACCTGGAAAAGGGACCGGTTTAACCCTCCCTGATGTCATTACTCTCTTTCACAGGCAGTGAAACATGGTCAAGTGACAGTAGCACAACTTTTTGTGATTCATTCCTAAGAGGAGATTCTGCAGGTCCAGATCAGGTAGGCAGTAGGATCCTTGGAGGGGAGGGGATAGTCAAGTCTCCTTGTCCCTTGACTATTGTCCTGACTCTAAATGAACCTCTCATTTCTAAATTCCTTCCATACAAGATGTTTTCAGTGAATGACTTACTCAAAGATGTAAATCACAAATGGCCTCGTTTTACTTTCAGACTTGGATGGCGTTTCCTCCTCACATATAACATTTTTTTTTTTGTCTTCAGGTGACTTTTGAAGACGTGTCTGTGGATTTCTCAGAGGAGGAGTGGGCCCTCTTGGATCCAAGCCAAAAAGCCTTGCACCAGCAAATCATGGAAGAGAATTTAGGAATCGTGTCATCTATGGGTAAAGCTCCATTATGCTTGTAGTTCACCAAATCAGTTTACAAGTTCTAGAAATTATCCAATATTTCAGATCTCTTCCTCTGAAGTCAAAGAAAACAATCTCATTCCCTATCCCATGTGGGGCCAGCCCAAGGAGACTATTAGCACTTGGGTGGAGTTGCCATATTATATGAATTCTAGGCAGAGTTATTTTCCATCCACCAATTATGCTTATGATGCTGGTGGGAGTGAGAGAAAGGCTTCTCCTGAGCATTCTACTGCTCAAGTCAGTTTGAACAAGGAGATAAGTGAGTCAAATAGCCTTGACCTGAACCATATAGGTCATAACCAGCCATTTGAATTTTGTTTGGAAACAAGTTAGCAGCAAATGACTTGTTTGCTCTCTGTAGCCAACCCTAGTTAAAAGCCTGACTGCAGCTCTTTAGACCAGCTGAAGCTTTTTAAAATCATCAAAGGCAGCCCCAGGTACAGTGTATTATAGTAATCCAAATGAGATGTAACTAAAGCATGTATCATCATGGGGAGATCTGACTTCTGAAGGAACAGGCACAATTGGTGCAAAAATTTAAAATGTGCAATGCACTCCTGGCCTCGCATATAAGTTTGGCCCCCAGATTCCATGCCAAGTAGTAATGTAACTCCATCTAGCACAGGTTGAATCTTCATTCCGTGATCTGGCTCCCAATTAACCAGTAGCACCTCTGTCTACTTTGGATAAAGTTTCATTTTGCCTTTCTCCAGCCCATTATTGATGAGAGATATTGATTTAGGTGGAAAGGAGGAGTACAGCTGGGTGCCCCCTGCATATAGATGGCACCGCACTCCAAAACTCTCTCATGACCTCTTTGTTATATATGTTAATTACATAGAGGACAAAACAGATCCCTGAGGATTGTTCCCTGGGGCAAGGGGCTAAGGGAACAGCTCTCTTTTGCCCAACTCTCCTTGAGTTATGATTTTCTTTGAAACTTATATCTTGGTATAATATTTTAGAGCAAAGACAAAAGAGATGTATTTATCTTAACAGCCAGTGATGGAGAGGATTGTCCTTACTAAATGCATTTTGTAATTTGTAAACTTTTAACTTTGATCTAATATAAGCTTTTCTTTTCAACACATGTTCTCAAACCATACAAACAGAGGAGACACCATTTAAATATTTGGAAAATGGAATGAATTTCAATTGGAAGGGAATGCTCACCTTTTGTCAAGAAACTCACACTAGGAATAAATCATTTAAATTTTTGGAGTGTGAAAAGAGCTTCTGTCAGAAGGGAGACCTTGTTGGTCATCAGGCAACTCACACAGGAGAGAGACAATTTAAATGCTCTGACTGTGGAAAGAGCTTCAGTCAGAAGGCAGTACTTGTCCGTCATTGGGCAACTCACACCGGAGAGAAACCATATATATGCTTTGATTGTGGAAAGTGCTTCAGTCAGAAAGGAACCCTTTTTCGTCATCAGGCAACTCACACAGGAGACAGACCTTTTAAATGCTTACAGTGTGAAAAGAGGTTCAGTCAGAAGAGAAACCTTATTCGTCATCAGGCAACTCACACAGGAGAGAGGCCATTTAAATGCTCAGACTGTGGAAAGAGTTTCAGTCAGAAGATAGTCCTTGTTCGTCATCAGGCAACTCACACAGGAGAGAAGTCATTTAAATGCTTGGATTGTGGAAAGAGCTTCAGTCACAAGAGAAACTTTATTCGTCACCAGTCAACTCACACAGGAGAAAAGCCATTTAAATGCTTGAAGTGTGAAAAGGGTTTCAGTCAGAAGAGAAACCTTATTCGTCACCAGGCAATTCACACAGGAGAGAAACCATTTAAATGTTCAGAGTGTGGAAAAAGTTTCTGTCAGAAGATAGTCCTTGTTCGTCACCAGGCAATTCACACAGGAGAGAAGCCATTTAAATGCTTGGAGTGTGGAAAGAGCTTCTGTCAGAAGGGAGTCCTTGTTCGTCATCAGGCAATTCACACAGGAGAAAAACCATTTAAATGTTCAGAGTGTGGAAAGAGCTTCTGTCAAAAGACAGAACTTGTTTATCATCAGGCAACTCACACAAGAGAGAAACCATTTAAATGTTTGGAGTGTGGAAAGAGCTTCAGTCAGAAGAGAGTCCTTGTTCATCATCAGGCCACACACACAGGAGAAAAACCATTCAAATGCCTGGAGTGTGGAAAAAGTTTCTGTCATAAGTCACATCTTGTTTTTCATCAGTTAGTTCACTCAGAAGAGAGACCATTTAAATGCTCAGAGTGTGTAAAGAGCTTCTGTCGGAAGAAAGACCTTGTGTGCCATCAGAAAACTCACACAGGAGAGAAGCCATTTAAATGCCTAGAGTGTGGAAAGAGCTTCGGTCAGAAAGGAGATCTTCTTCGCCATCAGAAAACTCACACAGGAGAAAGACCATTTAAATGTTCAGAGTGTGGAAAGAGCTTCAGTCAGAAATCAAACCTTGTTCGTCATCAGGCAACTCACATCACAGAGAAACCATTTAAATGCCCAGACTGTGGAAAGAGCTTCAGTCAGAATACAGACCTTGTTCGCCACCAGAAAACTCACACAGAAGAGACACCATTCAGATGCTTAGAGTGCGGAAAGGGCTTCAAGCAGAAGAATGTCCTTGCTCATCATCAGGCAACTCACACAGGAGAGAAGCCGTTTAAATGTTTGGATTGTGGAAAGAGCTTCTGTCAGAAAGGAGTCCTTGTACGTCATCAGGCAACTCACACAGGAGAGAAGCTGTTTAAATGTTTGGATTGTGGAAAGAGCTTCTGTCAGAAAGGAGTCCTTGTTCGTCATCAGGCAACTCACACAGGAGAGAAACCATTTAAATGCTCAGACTGTGGAAAGAGCTTCTTTCAGAAGATAGAGCTTGTTTACCATGAGAAAACTCACACAGGAGAGAAGCCATTTAAATGCTCAGATTGTGGAAAGAGCTTCATACAGAAATCAGTCCTTGTTCGTCATTGGGCAACTCACACAGGAGAGAAACCATTTATATGCTTTGATTGTGGAAAGAGCTTCAGTCAGAAGGGAACGCTTTTTCGTCATCGATCCACACACACAGGAGAGAGACCATTTAAATGCTCAGAGTGTGGAAAGAGCTTCAGTCAAAAAGGAATCCTTGTTCGTCATCAGGCAACTCACACAGGAGAAAAACCATTTAAATTCTTTGAGTCTGGAAAGAGCTTCAGTCCAAAAACAAGCCTTTTTTACCAGTCAACCCATTCTGGAGAGAAGCCATTTAAATGCTCAGAGTGTGGAAAGAGCTTCAGTCAGAAAGGAATCCTTGTTCGTCATTGGACCACTCACACAGGAGAGAAACCATTTATATGCTTTGATTGTGGAAAGAGCTTCAGTCAGAAGGGATCCCTGTTTCGTCACCAGACAACTCACACAGGAGAAAGACCATTTAAATGCTCAGAGTGTGGAAAGAGTTTCAGTCAGAAGGGAATCCTTGTTCGCCACCAGGCAATTCACACAGGAGAAAAACCATTTAAATATTTTGAGTCTGGATAGAGTTTAAGTCAAAATAGAAGTCTTATTTTTTTTACCAGGAAACCCATACAGGAGAGAAGCCATTTAAATGCTTGGGACAAGCCATTTAAATGCTTGGAGTCTGACAAAGGTTTCGGTAGGATATACGCTTAATTCATCATGAAGTAATGCACACAGGAGATAAATCATTTATATGCTTGCAGTGTGGAAAGAGGGTCAATCTTAAGAGCAGTGTCACCTGGATGATGAGTGACACTGCTCTTAAGATAGACCCTCTTTCCACACCATGAAATTCACACACTGAATTGATTAACATAGAAAGAGCTTCCGTCAAAAGATTAATTTCACTTCACACCAAGTGTCCAGTGCAGGGGAATTATTATTTAATTCTTCAGCATGTTGGTAGAGCTGGGATAGGGCAAGTTTCTTTGTTTTACATCAGAGGAGGGCTTTTGGGGGAAATAATAACCTGACCCATTTTATTTTATGAATTATCTCATTAAGCATAACTGATAATATTTTGAGAGCTAAAGGAAGGATATTTCAATTTTTTTAACCCATTCATGCATATTAGTTACTGCAAATATTTCCTGTCATGTATATTCAAGGTTAAAAATACATTTAATTGAGAATTTCGATGAGAAGTGTGGGAGTGGGTTGTCGTAGGTTTGTCAGGCAATATGGTCATGTTCTAGAAGCATTCTCTCCTGATGTTTTGCCTGCATCTATGGCAGGCATCCTCAGAGGACCTCACACCCTCTGAGGATGCCTGCCGTAGATGTGGGTGAAATGTCAGGAGAGAATGCTTCTAGAACATGGCCATATAGCCCGAAAAACCTACAACAACCCAGTGGTTCTGGCCATGAAAGCCTTCGACAATACTGTGGGAATGGGTTCGATTAATGACTAACAGCCCTGTGTGCTATGTAATTCTGTGTATGTGGTAGGAGGTTATCTTTTATGAAATATGTGAAAAAAGCATAACTGATAATTTTTTTATTCATTCATATATACTGGTTACTGTGAATATTTCTTGTCCTATCTAGAACAAATAAATAATCTATTACAGGTGTGTGTGTATGTGTGTATTCTATCTCCAAAAACACATGATGTTTCTTAAAATATATAAGTGAGCATTAATCCAGTTTAACCTGAAGAAAAGGGGTATTTAGAATTCCGATTCTCTTCTGTATGTTTTGATATTGATGGAATAATTTTGTACTGAGTCTGTTTGCTAAGGTTTAACTGAAAGAAGGAAGTGAATAACCATTACCAGAGCTGCCTCCATTAATCCCCATGTTAAATTCCTAGCAGAATCTGAATGATGATCTGGTTGGTTGCAAGCTTGGAATGTTGTGGTTGAAAATTAATTTGGTAATTTTCATCCATTAAAATGGGGGAATAAAGTTATTCCCACTTAGCTTTAAAGCAACCTTCCTCAACCTTGATCTTTTCTCCAGACTGACTAGAAAATAATCAATAAAGATTTTCCAACGGACATTGGTAATTTAACATGCTTAGAAACTGTCATATTAAGAAATACTGTTGTAGTGAATTCCCTGCCTGTTAGGCTAGGAAAAACCTAGAAATGTGGAAAGAGTGCCAGGGGCATCCATTTTAAAATCTCATTTCCTGAAGGGGGCGAGCTTGAAGGGAAATGAGAGGAGTTAGTGATTGGCTAGGAGAGAGTGGGCAGAGCTTAACTTAGAAAAGGGAAAAATGACTTTAAGGGGACGTTTTAAAACCCTGTCAGAGATATTGAACCTGGGTGTCAAAGGGAGAAGGTGTTAGGAGTTTGGAGTGGCGAAGAGAGTAGTGAGAGAGGCCTAAAGTGGTCAGTTAGCTAGCAGAGATAGCTAGTGGGAAGATTACAGCTATTAGGGAAGATAGCTGAGGACTGGAGTGACAGATCCCAAGAGTAAAGGACTGTCTGTGTGGAGGAGTTTATCCTGTCACTAATCTCTGGAGGGAGAAGGAGTGTAACTTGCAACTAAGTTTTTGAACTGCTCAAAGGAGCCACACGCTTTTAAGACAATCTTTCAAATCAACTAAGCTTATTGCCTGTTTTGTTCAAGTTCTCTTAAATAAACATCATTGTTTTATTGTTCACAACATCTGCCTCACGTGTGCCTCTGGATGAAGTTTTAAAAGCAGTTTCCTGCAGCAACTCAAAGACTAATGGTGGCAGTGTATATTTTAAAAGAGTAATCTTTTCAGTGTTACTTCAGAACACAAGCCTGAGTGCGAATCTAGCGCATTCTTGTCTAAGGTTATTATTATTATTATTATTATTATTATTATTATTATTATTATCTTTATTTGTACCCCGCTAGCATCTCCCGAAGGACTCGATGCGGCTTACAAAGGCCAAGGCCTCAATAAAACAACATAACAATACACACAGCATTATAAAGCAAATCAAAACATTCAGCAATAACAGTAAACAATTGAAACAGTAAGCCAAGATACCTCAAGTAAGCCAAGAGCTTAACCTTGTTCTTAAGTTTGGTGGTGGCCAGGGTTCTTTCAAAAGGTTTTTCGAACAGAAGAAAGTTCCAGCTTTCATTACAGCTTTATGCTATTGATTTTTAATTAGATAAGCCACATACATTTCTAAGTGGTGTTCAGCCTTTGGGGATTTATACACCCCAAATAAGCCTCCATCTATTATATTTGGTGTTCAGCGTGTAGGATTTTTATTCCCAAATAAATCCTCAAACCATGTCCTAAAGTATAGGATCAGTTCAACTAAGTTTTTGTGAATTATTTGTTACCTCTCCTCTGTTTTCTATTACTTTTCAACATTCTCGACATGGATACTATTTATTTGCTTATCAAACAACCCAATTATTTAACATTGGTCTGTATTAATTTTTAGGGCTACTCGGGAAGGATCAGGTGCTTTCAGATGGAATATATACAGATCCTCTCTTAGCATATATACTGTACTTTGTTAGAACAGGGTGAGTGTGTCTATAAAGACAGACAGGAAAAAAGAGAAAAAGTGGAATGGAGGAATCAGTAAGGAATGCTTCCAACATACTTATCCAAATGCCTAGAAATAAGACTTAGATGAAGGTTTAGAGGGCATGCTTATCAAGCTTGCAGATGGCACCAAATTGGGAAGGACAGCTAATCCTCCAGAAGACAGGATCAGAATTCAAAACATCCTTAACAGATTAGGGTTGCAATTAAGCATTAAAAAACACCTAGATTATAGCAGCAAGACTGATAACTGGCAAGGAGAGGGAGGCAGTGACAGACTTTGTATTTCTAAGTGCAAAGATTACTGCAGACGCAGACTGCAGCCAGGAAATCGGAAGACGCTTACTTCTTGGGAGGAGAGCAATGAGCGATCTCGATAAAATAGTGAAGAGACATCACACTGGCAACAAAGATCCGCATAGTCAAAGCCATGGTATTCCCCGTAGTAACCTACGGATGTGAGAGCTGGACCTTAGGGAAGACTGAGCGAAGGAAGATAGATGCTTTTGGACTGTGGTGCTGGAGGAAAGTTCTGAGAGTGCCTTGGACTGCAAGATCCAACCAGTCCATACTTCAGGAAATAAAGCCCAACTGCTCATTGGAGGGAAGGATATATAGAGGCAAAGATGAAGTCCTTTGGCCACATCATGAGAAGAAAGGAAAGCTTAGAGAAGAGAATGATGCTGGGGAAAATGGAAGGAAAAAGGAAGAGGGGCCAACCAAGGGCAAGATGGATGGATGGCATCCTAGAAGTTGGATGTGGCTCTTAATGAGACATGCCGCATTATCACGGGGTGTCTGCGCCCCACACCACTGGAGAAATTACACTGCTTAGCCGGCATTGCACCACCTGACATCCGCCGGGAAGTAGCAGCCAATAGTGAAAGGACCAAGGCAGAGACATCTCCAGCTCATCCCCTGTTTGGGTATCAGCCAGCACGTCAACGACTTAAATCTAGACATAGTTTTCTAAGATCTACAGAGACACTCGCTGGAACACCTCAGTAAGCGAGAGTCCAAAAGTGGCAGGCTCAAACCCAGAACCTCAACCAATGGCTGATACCAAATGAGAGACTCCCCCCTGGGCACACAGAGGACTGGGCGACTTGGAAGGCGCTGAACAGACTGCGCTCTGGCACCACGAGATGCAGAGCCAACCTACAGAAATGGGGCTACAAAGTGGAATCCTCGGCATGCAAGTGTGGAGAAGAGCAAACCACTGACCACCTGTTGCGGTGCGGCCTGGGCCCTGCCACATGCACGACGGGGGACCTTCTTGCAGCAACACCAGAGGCACTCCAAGTGGCCAGATACTGGTCAAAGGACATTTAACCAACTACCAAACTCACAAGTTGTGTATTTTTCTGTCTGTTTGCTTGTTCTGTTAGAAATGTAATATATAATGGACTGGTTGCTCTGACACGACAAATAAATATCCTAGAAGTGACAGCCTTGACCTTGAAGGAGCTGGGGGTGGTGACGGCCGACAGGGAGCTCTGGCGTGGGCTGGTCCATGACATCACGAAGAGTCGGAAGCGACTGAACGAATAAACAACAAACACTTGGGTAGAAAAAAACAAAATGCACAGATACAGGATGGGTGACGCCTGGTTCGAGAAGAACCCATGTGAAAAAGATCTTGGAGTCTTAGTGGACAACACAGTAGACTTGATTCAACAGTGTGATGCAGCAGCTAAAAAGGCGAATGGGGTTTTGGGCTGTTTCAAACTTTTTCAGCCGCTGAGCCCTTTTTGAAGCAAATGTCTTTTGTGGTGCCCCAATAAATGTTTATATTGTTGTTGTTTATTTGTTCAGTCGCTTCCGACTCTTTGTGACCTCAGGGACCAACCCATGCCAGAGCTCCCTGTCGACCGTAGCCACCCCCAGCTCCTTCAAAGTCAAGCCAGTCACTTCAAGGATACCATCCATCTATTTTGGCCTTGTTTATATATTATAAACAGTATTATATTATACAGTGTTCCCACGCTACTTCACAGTTCGCTTTTAGCAGACTTGCTGTTTTGTGGGTTTTTGGAAATATTAATAAAATTATTACATATTAAATATTTACGTCCAGGGACCCCGGAAGTGAGGTGGCCTGAGGCGCGGCGAGGAAGGCCTGCCTCCCTGGCCTGCTGCTGCCTGTATGGCTCCGGAGGCTCTGCAGAAGCCAGGTAGGCAGGCAGGTAAGGAAGCACGGGTAAGAAAATAATATATAAAATATATGAAATTATGTAAAAAGTAAAGGTTGTCCCCTGACATTAAGTCCAGTCATGTCTGACTCTGGGGTGTGGTGCTCATCTCCATTTCTTAGCCGAAGAGCCAGCGTTGTCCATAGACACCTCCAAGGTCATGTGGCCGGCATGACTGCATGGAGCACCGTTACCTTCCCGCCGGAGCGGTACCTATTGATCTACTCACATTTGCATGTTTTCCAACTGCTAGGTTGGCAGAAGCTAGGGCTGACAGCGGAAGCTCACGCCGCTCCCCGGAATCGAACCTGCGACCTTTCGATCAACAAGCTCAGCAGCTCAGTGCTTTATATGATGTCCCTACTTCACAGGTCCTGGAACGGAACCCCCGCAATAAGTGAGGGAACACTGTATTATATCATAACACACACACACACACACACATATATACACATACACACACACACACACACACACACATATATATATATCGGGCATGGGCAACCTTTTTGACCAACATAAACTTAACAGTATATCAGTGGAAGACTCCAGGGGGAATCCAGTCCAACCTCCTGCCATGCAGGAAAAAACACAATCAAAGCACCCCCAACAGATGGCCACCCATCCTTTGTAATAATAATAATAATAATAATAATAATAATAATAATAAACATAAATCACAGAGGTCATCTAGTTCAACCCCCTTCTAACAATTACAAAACCACAATCAAAGCACGCACTAAGTAGTGGGAGGTAAATAGGGTTTTGGAAGGAAGCAAGGTTTGGGGGAAAGGATCTGGGAGGAGGAAGGTGAGGTTAAAAAGGGAGAGAAGTGAGCAAAAAAGGCATTTGGGGGTGAGGGAGGCAAGCGAGGTGGAAGAGCAGGAAGGAGGAGGAAAAGCCTGGAGGGGGAGAAGGAGGAAACTGCAGAGTCCCTCAGTATGCTTTGTGGTGCTCTGTAAAGCACACCTTGAGAGCCACTGGTCGAAATTGGGGGGAAAAATAGGCCTTCATCAATGGTAATCAAGGTGGTCAGTTGAAACATTCACACCTAGCTCCAACAGACAAGAGTTCTTTGTCCCACCCTGGTCATTCCACAGATATATAAACCCATTTTCCTAGTTCCAACAGACCTCACAACCTCTGAGGATGCTTGCCATAGATGCAGGCGAAACGTCAGGAGAGAATGCCTCTAGAACATGGCCATATAGCCTGAAAAAACCTACAAGAACCCAGTGATTCCGGCCATGAAAGCCTTCGACAATACCATTGTATTAAACTTCAATAAAAAAATATTTTTAAAAATGCATAGCTCAAACCAATACAACCATATTTTTTTTCCGTGTCAGGGGTTACTTGAGAAGCTTCAAGTTGCTTCTGGCGTGAGAGTATTGGCCGTCTGCAAGGGCTTTGCTCAGGGTATGCCTGGATGTTTTGATGTTTTACCATCCTTGTGGGAGGCTTCTCTCATGTCCCCGCATGGGGAGCTGGAGCTGACAGAGGGAGCTCAACCGTGCTCTCCCTTCGGATTTGAACCTCCAACCTTCAATACTGTTGGCTCAAGGGTCTAACCCATTATGCCACCGAGGGCTCTAATAAAACCAGAGAAACCTGGAATCTCCATGCAATACAGCACCCTCTGGCTTGGTGCTCAAAGCCGGCCTGGATGGGAGGGTCTTGGCCTGCTTGAGGGCCCACCCTGGCTTCCTTGGGCAGGAGTTCCAGATGAGAGGGAGGTAGAAATTCAGAAAAAAAAAAAAACACTCTATAAACAAAAAGCTCTCAAAAAGCCACAAACTCGCTCACTCCTCACAAAACAGTATCACAAAAAACAGACCAGACACTCTGCGATCAAAAAGAAACAAAAAAACAAAAACCACACAAAAAACAAAGCAAAAAACAAAGCTCTCAAACCTCCCCTTTCTCCAGAAACAA